CACCTTAGTTGTATTATCTTGCCTGGAATACAATTTCCTAGCATGATCCCATATCTCTTTAGCTATATATAGGAACATAAAGTTCATATTGATTTTTGGTTCCATGCTATTCCACAACCATGTCATAATTTGGGCATCATCCTGCTCCCTGTCACTAAACCCTAGAGAGTTAGAGGAAGGTCTTTCCTCTCTCACATTCTTCACTTTCTTCTTGGCCTTCAAGAACACTTCCACCGACTTGGCCCAAGGCACATAGTTCTCACCATTCAACTTAATGGATGTCATTTGAACAATCAGATAATCTAGAGAGATCATAACTCCAATTTTGTTGTCACTACCATCTTCGGTTGATGACATTTTCAACTAAATTTGCTCTCCTCACAAGAAAGTATGAACACCACCACAGAAATCAGTATGAACACCACTACACGACACAAGGGTTTACTTTCAACTATTTAGAAACATCCACACACCATTCAACACAATACACCACCACCACACCACTGCCGTCGTGAACTTTAGTAGCCAAAAACAACTACTTCCAGCACACATATGAGGTATAAACAGAGGAGAACACCGCACCATTGCATGATAGTCACTTGATACCTCCACAAAAACAAAAACAAAAAAAAAATTGAACCAAAATACAACATCTATGGTCCACTACTTGGGTGAAAAACAGATCTGTTCATACCTTTCCAAAAACAACCCTCTTCGTAGAATAGAGGGCTTCTAGTACACCACCTCAACGACCACCACCACAATAACTAGAGGCATACTCACCTCCAAAACCACAAAACGACCACTACTTTTTGGTTTCTTGACAAGCTACAACTCAGGCTAGAAGAAAATCGAAGTAGGCTGGACTGGTTGGCGGTGAACCCAAGAAGAAGAAAAACAGTGAGAAAAAAAAAGAAAAAAGAGGAAAAGAAAACTAGGTTTTATTGCTTTGATACCATGTAAAATCCCGAATGGATTCTAGGTTAAAGTAGAGAAGAAGAGGAGAAGGAAGAAGAAGAGAAGGAGGAGGAGGAGAAGAAGGGTTTGGCTAGATGAGGAAAAAACTATCCTCTCTAGTTGACCCACTTGTATTTATCTCACATAAGCTTGGTTTGAAGAAAGTCAATATTGCCCCTCATAAGTGATGGGACACAACTTAAACATAAATAAAACAGACCTTTCACTCTCACATAGATGCACCCAAATTACCAAAAACCCCTATTTTGTGAACTCTAACAGATAATTAAAAACAACAAAAATTGACATGGAAAAGAGCCACCAAGGTGCATTAAAGTGTGAAGGATTCAACATTCTTTACCACCTAGACCATGGATCCCTACCATGGAACCAACCCTAAGTAGAGGTGTAAATCGGGCCGGCCCGTCACAAAGGCCCATGGGCCGTGCCAGGCCTGGCACAAAGGTTTGTGCTGTGCTGGGCCAAGGGTTCGAGGTCCACGGGCACGACACAAGCCCGTGGCCCACGTACTGGCACGACCCCTCATGGACTGGCACTGGCACGGCTCGTAGCGGGCCGAGCGTGGCCCACCCGGAATATAGCCGTTGCCCCCCCAAAGGGGCCCAACAGCTATAAGCAGCCATATTAGGGGGTATTTGTGTATTTTGCTTGTGGGGTTAAAAAATGGCATAAATACAACTAGTTTAGGGGGGCTTTTTGGGTAAAGTTATAAATAACTACAATGACCAAAATACCCCTCCCAACAACTAAATAACAACTAGTTTTTTGGGTATTTTGGGCAATTGAATTATGTTCAATTCGCCAGTCAACAATTCCTATAAATAGCCCTATCCTCCACCATTCTCATCACACCAATTCAACAATTCTCTTATTAAGTTATTCTCTTAATCTCTCCAGTCTTTCCTCTCTTAGTCTCTTTTAGTCTCTCATACATTCTCTGCGATTTGAGGTGAACTCTAATAGTCTCATAGTCTGATTGGTTGATTGTTTGATTCTCCAAGTTAGCAATTTGGGAGGCTTGGAGCCTTGGACATTGTCACATTGAAAGGCTTTAATCGTTGAAATCAAGTTGTGATTCTAAACCGACAATCCGGGGTAAGTCCAATTAAATTAATTTTATTTTTTTAGAATTTGAAAAAAAATGGCCAACTCTTCCCAAAACCCTAAGTTTAGTAGCCTGATTTGGAGAATATTTAAAATAGAGGATGTTGAGGGGAAGGGGAAAAGAGCAGTTTGCCAAAAATGTAGATAAGACTTTAGCTATTATAGCAAGGGTGGTACTGGCCATTTGACCAAACATTTTCTCACACATGAGAAGGAAGAAGAAATAACCCACAATTTAAATGAATTTTTGAAATAATGGAAAATAAATATTAAAAATATTGGGAGAAGTCGGAGTCTCAAAGAACATTTCTCGCTGCCAATCCCTCCATGGCACGTGATTCGTGATATACTAATCCCTCCGGTGTCTACAGGCTACAGTTTCATCGGAGTCTTGTTTAGTTGTTTTAGTACAGGACCTGCAGGTACCACACTACCACTGTATCAGGGTTGGTTAGATGTAGCCATGAATCATGATGCGAAATATAGATTACAACTTTACAATTACAAGACAAAGGAGGGCATGATACTATTACATACACCGGATATTTCATTTTTCACATGAAGCAGATGATGAAAGTGTGTGTGAATGATATCATCATAATGTATATGTAAATTTTGTTTAAATTGTAAATTTTAACAAATAACCCACAATTTTTTATTTTGTCAAATTATTGTAATTTTTGTTTTAATTTTATTTAATTTATTTGCTATTAATGTAATTTTGTATTTTTAATTTGTAACTATATAGTCTATAATTCTATATTGTATTTTTTATATTTTATTAATTTATTCCATTTTCATATTTCATTCATCCAAGTATGAAGTTTATGAAGTATCCAACCATTGTATATTTCATAATTTNTTATTCCATTTTCATATTTCATTCATCCAAGTATGAAGTTTATGAAGTATCCAACCATTGTATATTTCATAATTTCAATATTTGTATAATTGTATGCTTTRTAAWTTRTATCATTATTCATTCAAATTTAAATGAAATAAAATTCTTAAATTCCTATTTGAATTGTTTTATACTTTTATTTATTTATTCTTTGGGTAATCGTAATTTGTAAGTTCGTTATTATTCGTATCCTGTCCTGATAATCTGATATCCATAATCCATTCAGTCATTCAGTGAGTCTAGCCCGATTCGGCCCACGCCCAAGGCCTTCCCTATGGCCCAGCCCGACACGACCCAAGCCCATCGCAGGGCCTACAGCCTGTTCCAGCCCAGGCCCGCAGCACGACACGGCATGGCACAGGCCCACCTGGGTCTGGGCCGTGGGCCGTGCCGGGCCGACCCCCCAAAATTTCCATCAGGAGGGCGGCACAACCAATGACGGCCCACGGCCCAGCATGGCACGGCCCACACCCGGCACGGCCCACTTTACACCTCTAATCCTAAGGCTGTTACTTAATTGCACGGTTCAAGCCGACAGGCCTGAACCGATCCAACCCTATTTACTACGCAGATTGCAACCGATTGTGATTCTTAGATCAATTAATAATATTGATGGTCCTGGTCTACCACTCATGGGTTTTTTCTTATCAGTTTTTAGACTGATTCCTTCCTAACCCGGACCCAATCGACCCGTTGGCAACGCATATACCATGACAAATTTGAATCACTGAGATATGGTGTTCTTTGGTAAAGTACTGAGACATAATATATTGGAGTTACACAAGTTCTCCCGTGAGTCTCATTGCAATAGATTTGCAAGCAGGAATCATGAGCAAGTAGGTCAACCTAGTGTCCTCAGAATTCTGATTCTTGAGTCAAACTTGTCTTGGTTAGCATTCCCAAGTCAGTAAATCTGACGTTTTCTTACCTGTCTATAAATAGACTGTTCTTATCTGACGACTGGTGGACTATTTTCCTAGATAGTAATACCGACATGACAAGAATAAATGAGGTCCCTTTCTTCCAAAATAATCCCTCCCCCCCCCAAAAAAAAAAAAACTCTCAAAAATCAACCTATAAAGCTGGTAATTAGAACCATAAGATTTTACTGTATAAACGAACTATTCAAATCAGATGAGATGGCTATAATAGTCTCTGATTTATGCTGATTTATATGTATTCAATCCTTCAGACGGGACCTGGTGGGTTATTGTCCTTGAAATGTTGTACATGTGGCAAGTTTTAGGGGGGGTGGGGTGTATAGACCCATCCACTGCCCCAAGAAACTACTGAGCTTTTTCAGTCACTTGGATGGTTGCATCATGGATTCAGTTAGCAAACAGCCCAAACCATCTAATCTAATGAGGGGTTGTCAAGATCAACCACGCCCACATGCCTGGTTCCATGTTATCCCACTGTAAATGGAGTTGCTGCTTTCAAATGGATGTGAAACTGAAAATCTAACATTTCGCCTAACATGGAAAACAGGGTAAATACATTCTGGGTTTCCACCTGAGACGCTGCAAAACTGTTGCATTATTAGCAAGATTCCCAACTTGATTTGTTCAAACACTACCAGCCGGGATCTTTCCTTTGGATAATAAGACAACATTGACATGCTCTTGGGATTCTTTACAGTTTACATGTGATATAGCTCAGGTGGTAGATCAAAATCAGAATGGGGTAGGTGTGCATATTTCTGCCACTCAAATCTGCCAAGATTCAACCTAACGAACTAATGTTACAAGTCAAAAAAGAGACTTCTAGCTCTCTTGTTTCCTCTGAGAAATGAAAAATAGAATACAATTTGTCCAAACCCAATACAGGCTAAGGCGTGGGGTTCATGGGGATGAACTATCCACGTGGCCGATCTGAATTGTTTCATGAGACAAGAGTTGGATTATTTTATCAAAAAAAAAAAGTTGCTTTGGATTAGCCACGTCAGTGCTCTCTGCAAGCAATAATACCTGGGTAGAAGTTAAAACAAAATGCTCTTTTACAGAATACAAAAGAGTACTTAACAGTAATGATGAAGATTATTGAAGGTTTCTCCAGTAAATATAGTAGAAAGGATGAGAGTCTAAAGAATAGATTCTTAAGAGACCAATATGGTCTCTGGCCTCTCCACACACAACAAAGAAAAGAGAAAAGGAAAAAGAATAACCGATTGGATTGGACCAAGAAAAAGAAGATGAAAGATGCTCATGATTACAATACAGAATGTGGGAAAGAAAAATCATCTTCTCCGCCAGAGCTCACCCAAAACTTTACATATAATATATAAAATTGAAAACTTTGCTTGAAGCAAAACCCAGTTTACCAGATGTTTTACTAACAAGGAACGAACTTCAGACTAATCAAACAAGCATTTTTTACAGCATAATAAGCCAAACCATACAACAGATAGGAAGTTGAAATGCAATCATCTCCACCACCTGCACACCACCACAAGCTTCTAATCAAAACCCCATCAATCAATCATGAGAGAGAGAGAGAGTTGTTTTAGTTTTTAACTTCGAAGAAAAGGAGGAAAAAGAAAGAGAACTTGGGAGTGGTAACCTGTGCTCCGAGACCGGATGTGGGCACTGGACGTATTGTAGCGGAGTCGGTTTCACCGGTGGGAAGAGGGACTGCAGGATTACTATTAATAAAAGGAATGCTACCGCCTGTATCTGGCAACATAGATGGAACCGTTGTCGCTGGAGGGCTTGCAGTTGGTGCCGGACTTGGTGAGTTTGATCGATGAGAATGGAACGGCCAATGGTACGCCGGAGTGGACGAGACAATCCCGCCAGAAGTCGGTGGCGGAGCTGCTAGTGGTGGAGACTCCGGCGCCGGAGCCGAGTTACCAGGCGGAGTTGGCAATACCCTTATGGCGAGCTTCTCAGCCTCTGAACAGGCTTTCAGTGAGCCGTTGTTGAAAGAGAAGTAGGCATAGCCAGGGACTGATGGGCGCCACTGAACAAAGCAATAGGAAAGATATTAAAAATAAATTATCAAACAAAATGACATGGAAGAAGAGATTCAGAAGAAGAAAAAGGATTTCATCCACTGTAAAGCAAGGAACCCAGATTTAAATTTCAGGGGAAAGGAAAGAGAGATGCTACCATGAAGGAGGTAGAGTTGGATCGGTTGAGAAGTGTGGCTTCAGCGAAGTTGCAAAGCTTGAAAGCTCTTCTGCTGTGGAAAATGTAGACGTCGTGGTGTCGTTCATATTTGAAAACTGCAACAGAAGGGCAGAAGGTTAATCTGTGTCCTTGGCTCTCTGTTCACTAATGAGAATATCTGTGTGCATTGTTAGTTGAATACTTACCAAGAGAGTCTCCTGTATGAACTGTGGGGTTCCTCCACTCTGCAATTTCATCTACAGCAATAGTCTTGGCATGGGAGGATTGGAAGACTAGACTGAGAAGGAAAAGAAGTATGGGCATCGAGGAAGCCTCCATGGGCTGTTCTTGGTTTCTTTTAGTTTTGGAATCAGAGGTGCAGATAGATGGGGAGGGGCTCGGTGAGTCTGTCTGAGATGGGTCTTTCCTCGTTCAAAATTCAACCTTTTTATCTCTGTGCTACAATTACAAAAGCAGAAAAAGCAGGTCTCGAAATGAGACAGAGAGTGAGGAATTACTGTCAACAGTGTCGGGTGTGTTTGGCTTTTTACCATAGGGGTTTATGTGGAGAGAGAGAGAGAGATTTTGGGTTTGACAGCGTGTGTTTGGATTGGAAGAAAGTCCTCGGATTTTGTGTTTGGGTGCGTGTAGCTGTACATGTTTTCGTTGCAGTGAGCTTTCACCATAGAGGAGGAATTATTTTCCTTTACAGTGAAACTTTTTTTATTAAAAAAAGATAAAAGGAAGAAGAACAAAGCAGAGGAAAGGAAGAAGGAAAAATGAATAGTTGAGACTTGAGACTTGAGAAGAGAAAATTATTATTCTAAAAACATTAGTCAATTATTAATGGCTGATTAATCAAGTCTAGATTCAGGACACAGCACCGGCAATCTTTATATTAGATTATTTTAGTACATATGCACTTATTGAAGCTTTCAATTTTGGGAATGAAATCTTCCTATTTTAATCCTTTTGAATGGTTACTTGGTAAAGGGTTTCTAGCAGCTAATTTTTTAAATCAGCTTAGAGCATGAGACCATTATTTTACTCAATAGGAGGGTAAACCGTGAACACCATCCCCAGTGACCGAAAAGCTTCAAGAACTAAATACACGAGCAAATAATACACAACAACTGAGTACTGACTGATGTGTGATGTCTCCTGTACAAAGGAATAAATACGTGGAATTGTCTCGGATTTGAGGATAAAAAATCTATAAAGCTCTCTTGGACTCAGGGGGGCCTAATTTGCCCAGTATCCAAGGTTTAGTTTAGACGGCCTAACTGGTTCAATAAAGCTTTGAGTAGATGGCAATTCAACTTTGAGTTTGTTGGTTAAGACAAAGCACAAGACAAATTCAAAGACATTAAACAGGTCCAAGCCAAGCCACTCCTCTTGTCAAGTTGATTGCCCAAGGGGCTCGTTTGTCTAAACTCTTAAAGTAAGACCAGTTCATTAATGGCTGAATCATGCCTGATTCGTGACGTTCCGGACCACAATTAACCCTACCCGAAGACAAAGGGAATCATAGATCCCGTGAGTTTTGTGAACGTTATACAGAAACATGAAGCCATTCAAGTTCTACTATGGAGAGGGTTAGGGTTAGGCTTTCACGATCAACATAAGTTTTATGATTTTATTGAATTTGAACCAGGATTGAACAACAATTCAGGTACATGGGGGGGGCGCATTTTAACGGAGTTGAAATAGGTTTTGTGGTTGAGGTGTCACTAGAACATTGAAGCAGACAAAAAACCCCAAAGGTCCCCTCTGGACTTTCTTTTGGTGGATGATTTGGTTGACATGAGCCTTGTAACGATCCAAGAGAATGCGACAGATCATTTGGATGACCATCTGATAACGTATTTGTTGAAATTTTGGCTTGGTATGGTGTGATCCCGGACCCATCCGACGGATGGCCTGCCTGACACTGGACTGTCCTTCTGGGACCACCGAGAAAAAAAGAAACGAAAACTGAAAACATGTCACGTACTGCTACTGTTTGTCCTTTTTCTCCGAGGGAAGCAACTCAAGTACTCAACACAATATCATGGTCAAGGGCGTTACAAACCGCTAGATCCGAACTCGAAAAACATTGGAGCTTATGAACATGATTTACATGAATTTGTATCCAGTTGGTTATTATCACCACGCTCACTTTTATGTACTATGCTTTTTTTTGGGTAAGAAAATGGTTGTATCATGATGAACCATGATAAGAGTATGGTATGAGGTTAGAAACCCAGCTACAGAAAACTCGAATTTACAGCCATCCAAGACTTACGGCTGGAAAATGCCGGCAATGCTTAGGTACTAAACTCTTGCAACCATATTACCTCATGCTCTCTCTCTGTCTCTGAATTGAAAATTTATTTAATACAATAATGGGTTCCTCCTTCCCAGAATAAGATCTTGGGAAACCAAATATTGGTCTCAGAATAAGAAAAAAAAAGCTCTGGAACTCTGGAAGAATAAATAGGACACGAGATACCCGCTCTTCAAAGTTCTCTTAAAGATTTGTTATATTTTAAATGGATATAAGTTCAAGCCTCCCCGTCTCCCCGTCCCCCTCATAGGCCACAGCAACAAAAGGGGATACAGGCTTCTGCAACTGAAATTGTTTTCTTTTAACAATAACTTCTAATTAACCACTCGACACCACCCTCCTTGTATTAATCTATTACGTATACATGGATGGAAGTATTAGTAGTATACTGTATACCTCCAACCTTGGCTTCACAGAAATTTCCTTCAAATCTTAGTCACAAACTCTTAGTTACTCTTTATACATGAATGGACACGCCCTCAAAACACTATCAGTAGGGGAAGATACACAACACATACGTTTTCCCAAGAGAGATATGGCCTTGTCACAGTGGTGCTAACCTTCTATATCTTTACCATCATTCAATAGAAAAGATTCCTTCTCTGTTTTTCTGCATGGATTATTAAATAACCCTACCAATGCACAGAGTGAACTCTTCGAAGAACACGAGGTGGCCTGCGCTTCTCCTGTACTGGGATAAGATATTCCATGAGCTGCATGCAAACCAATTAGATGATCAGTCACAGTGATTAACAAATTATACCAAGCCACATACTTTGTTATCTTCATTCCAAACATCAAGCTAGGACGCCTCAGTAGATTTGTGAGGAATAACCTTAAGAAAAGTAGATGCAATTACCAAAGACATCTCATACAACTTATAAATAGAGTTACCAGGAAAATCGATGCCATTTTCATAAGAACATGTCATTGTTCCTTGGAACTCTATTATGGAGGACCTGGTCTAACTCCAATTTTAAGTGGAGCTGTGCTCCTTAATGATCTACATCTTAACTAAGAGGGAAAAGGGCCAAAAGGCTAGCCTCAGGACTCTTGTATCAAATGCACCCCATTAAAAAACAAGTGGGTGAGTTGCAGAGATATTAAACACATTCAAATGCCACAGAAGTTTGCACAAACACCAAGGCCACTGTAATGATGGGATGTCCAACTAAGATATGAAGAAAGTTTTTTGAAACACTTGGGCCACTGTATCACCATCTCTATACTTCTGTTGACAAAGCAGAATAGCTTGTAAAGAATTAGGAATAGATAGCACGGTTAAATCAGTGAAGAAGAAGATATTTGTAATCAAGAACTACCCATGCAAAGTCCACTGTTGGCATTAACATCTTATGCAGAGACTCATGGTTATCATGTTGAACCATCTGGGTACCATGGACTATACCTTTTTTTCTGCATGTTTGGGCTACACTTATTACTCAAATGGTGGTAAAACATGGACAGGAGCACCAATAAGGTTTAAATACAGAACATATGAATCAACATTCAAAGTCAGCTGAAGTTCCATTGATCATCTCAGCCATATTAAACAGTACACGTTTCAGAATTATGTTTTATCACTTTTCATCAATTTCAAGATTATGTTTTATAAAAAATTAGTGCATGAGAAACAAAATCAAGAACTAATTAAAGCTAAAAATGAGAATTCCTGCATAAGAAGAGAATATGCTGTTCAATGGAATCCATAGATTGGATGACTGTTTATGACAATTGTGTATAGTGCTTATAGAAAAGCATAATTGCATCTACAACTCCAAGAATAATATTGGCCAGAAACATATAGTGAGATCTGAGCATAGTCTGAACAAACAAGATCAAACCTGCAGGAGTGAAGGCACAGTGACAAAACAGAAGCCAGAAGCCACTTAATTCTTCTACTGTTCAAACTAATGATCAGCTTCACACGGCTTTAGGAAAGTAAATGTCAAGGAAAGGCAACCTTGAAGGCTCAATGAACAAAAGAATTTATCCATCAAGTGATCTAATCCTTGCCCTACAACATTGAAGAAGCATATTCCCATACCAACTCTCAGTCATCATCTTCACCTTATCCCAACTATATGGCGTGCATGTTTTGCCATTCCATTCTGTTTGATGCAATATCATCATCATCATCATCATTATCCAAGCCTTATCGCAACCATGGTCAGCTACATGAATCCTGTTTCACCATTCCATTCTCTTTATTGCCATATCTATCATTAAATTACAAGCGCTTAACTCAATTCTTACTACTTCAGCTCATGTCTTTTTTGGTCTGACCCTAGCCCTTCTAGCCCCTTCAACGTGTGACAGGTTGCTGCTTCTTATGGGTTCTGTATGCACATGACCAGACTATATTAGTGTACTTTCTCTTGTTTTATCACCTATTTGAGCTACTCCTAGGTTCCTTTGAATCAAATTGTACTTGCATCCATGATAAGGATACAAGCTTCAAGCTTTTACATCTCAACACTTGCATATCTGGTCTTTTCTTGGCTACATGTGATGATAGGAATCGTTCTTTATAGAAGAACTTCATCTAACGGCCAAGAAGTGATCCCATGACAACCCAAAACACAACAGAGGAACTCTTTTCCCATTAATATAGTGCAATCCTAGCTTCACACAGTCGAAGAGACAAATCTTCGCAATACTCTTCCCTATGTATTAGAATTATTGTTGGACAATTTTAAATAGAGGTGTAAAACGGGCGGGCGGCCTGCACAAAGTGCAGCCCATCCCGGGCCATGCTGCCCTCCCCTGGGATAACTTGGGGGTCGGCCCGGCACGGCCCACGGCCCAAGCCCATGTGGGCCCGTGCCATTCCACAGGCCGAGATGGTCTGTGCGCCAAGTCGTGGACTGGGCCAAAGCTATTTATTTAAGAAAATGAAAAAAAAAACTTAAAATTTTAATTTTATATGAATTTTGATGTATACGATTGCTTATATATACAATAATTAAATAAATTAGTATAATAAAATTGAAAACAATTGTTTATTTTATTAATATATTATTATATAATTATATATATAAATAATATATATAGGTTGTGCTGGCACGCAGGCCGTGCTCGGTCGTGTCGTGTCGGCCCGGCCCACGGACCTAAAACCCTAGGCCCAGCACAGCCCACATGATCGTGCTGGGCCTAGCACGACCCATGGACCGTCGTGTCGGGCCATGCCAAATCCGTGCCGGGCCGCGGGCGACATGACCCGATTTACACCTCTAATTTTAAACATTAAAATCTCCCTGCAAATTTCAGAAATTTCAATCTATGGTCCTTGTCAGTGGAATTTTTTATCTATGATTATATTAACATAAGTCTTCAAACTTACAAGGTCAAGCCTAACAATCTCCTACTTTGGCTGAAGTTTAGTTGAAAATCAAGTCCGGATTGACACAAGTTTTGAATCTTAGTTGCCACTTTGAAGTTCAAAAACTGGATTCATTACTGAGTGTGTGTGTTTTCCTTTCTTTTTTTTCTAATAAGTAATTTATCTGAATCTATTTATGTTGATCTAAAGTAAATCACATTTTCTGAATTTCAGATCACCATAGTCCATAGGATCACCTCCTGGCATCTACATTGTAGAAAGCCAAAAAAGGACTAGGGACGTTAACCCCAGGAATTACTCTAAAAAAGGGCTAATGTATATCTCATGATGACTGGCAGGTATGTATTTAATAATTCCATAATGCATGATCTATTGATGATTTTGGGTAGATCATGTTAGACATCTGTTTATTGGTATCATGCTAAACATGGCTTGATTTATTTTTTGTTCTTAATTCTGTTGCAAACCATGGCTAAGGATCCTTAAAAATAATTGCTTGGTCGTACAGGAGTATCTCTTTCATGCATTCAAAACAACTCTTAGAGTACCATTTGATTCCAAAGCCTTATTTTCATTTTTATTAGAGCATCTTTCAGTTCTTATATCGGTTCTAGGAAGACTCTTTTTTGATAGGTAGTTAGTTCTAGGAAGAAATTTATGTTACAGTTTCTTTTCTTTCTTTTTTTTAACCAAAATAACCCAAAGAAGTTATGGGTGTTAATATTTATAAGCACTCAACCCACATGCACAGGTTTAACATTTCACAAATGTCCTTAGAACACCCAATTGTATTAACCATCAAACAAAACACTTTCCCTCTATCTAGTAGCATATTCAAAAAGGAGAACTAGGACTATATCCTTCTCATTCATCATCATAGCACTTGTGACGGTGGTGCTCATGACGGCACCATTTCTTTTCCTCATCATCAGAGCTGTCTCCACAATTGGCATGATCATATTCTTCCCCTCCAATAACTGGCCTCCCTGGTACATCTGGGGCTGCTCTTCTTTGTGATGCTCATAGTTTGGCCTGTCATAGTTGGGCTTCTGATACTCCTGTTGAATCCCCATAACTTGATCATAAATAGGCATCTTAACTCTTGATGCCCACGACTGGGTCTTCCATTTGCTGGCTCTGAGGCTCTACCTTCTCCTGTCTCCAAAAATTGGACCTCTTCATATCTAGGTTTATATAGTCCTCCTGCCATACCTTTACTCCTCATCTCACTTGTAGTCTCTCCCACAACTGTACCTTCTGTATTCCTGGTTTCCCCCAATAACAGGGCATGCTACCATAGATAGACCCTATAATCTCATATGACCTCCACTTCTGGCCTCCAACCACTGCCAAACTTACCCTTATGGTAACCCGGCCGATTCATCACAGGCTGGAAGCTATAATTTTACTGTGACTTGGGCTTACCTCCATTGTAATTATAGTCAAGGCTGCTGGCTTTTTCCCCATGGGGCCTGCCAGACTAGAAGATGTAGGCAAGCTGTAGCTGTTTTACTTGCCAGCAAGGGCCTCGACACTGTAAGCTAGAGGTTTGGAGTAAAACAAGTTCTGGGGCCTCTGGTAATTAATATCCAACAATGATAATAAGAATGAGTAAGAGATCTCTTGTTGGACAGATCAAGTGCTTGGTTATAAGTGAGGCCAAAGTCATCATCCACAGTATGCCATTGAATCATACTTGTCGAAGTCATCCACACTATAGTCACCTCTCAAATAAAATGCTGTGGGCTGTGGCTTATATGCCTAAGTTTGCCCTATATATAGTTTTCATCTTTCTCTTCCATGTCCTCCAATGCAATTCCTTACGTCCTTTGTTGTCTTTCCCTACATTACGGCCAGTTACTGCTATAAATTTCTTTTAGGTTGAGGTGTCTTCAAATAATATACCAGTCCCTATAACGGTGCTTCTTGATCTAATTAGATTACTCTCAATACAATGGATTTTTTTATGAGTAACAACAGTATATATTTTATTAAAACGTTATGTAATGTGAGTACAACAACAAAGCAAAGAAAGCCCATTAATTTCAGATAACCTCCATACAAAGAAAATATATCAGCTCTTAACCAACTTGGCACCAATACAACTGATCCCTTGATACCCCTTGCATTTGCTAATTAGTTTTCCAGTCCATTAGCAGCCTGTGGAACCCATTTTCACTTTTTCCTGTAGCTTCACTATTATTTTTTGTAGCTCTCTTATAACATATCTGTAGTTCAACTGTTCAAGGCTACCTGCTGTTTGCCACTTGTCCACCCAATAATTGTTCTCAGCTAACCTCTCAATACAATGGATTGCTTTCCTCTCCTAATATAATATAGTTTGTAAAGGGGTGGATTGTAGTGGCCTCCTTACAACATGGTCATCCCCTTTTGGAACACATTCTTAAAGTTGAGGGTAGAGAATACCAAAGTACAATCCAAAGTGAAGAACCCCAAATGCTAACTTATATCTAGGACTCTCCCAGTATGGTGAACTTGGCAACGAGGGCATTAATATAGGTCACACACTCATACAAATGTGACATTTGATTTGGATGCCAAGGGAATACCTTCCTGATGTGATGAGAGAAATGCCAAAAGACCACTAGAAAAGTCTCATGAATGGCCAACCATAAATTGCAAGCCGCCTCCATCCAGTCATTCACAACAATCCTCTCAAATCTGGAGATAATGGATAATTTCATGCCACAGGAGTTGGTTATTTAATAGGTTCACTTTCAATCTAAGAACTTACCCTTTAGTGGAGTTGTAATATTCCATATTGCCTTAACAATAAAAGAATGTAACAATAGTAAGTATCCAATATTGTACTTAAGAAAATACTTATTAAAAAAATATTGTACTTAAGAAAATAGCACATAAAATTTTTTAAACCTCCAACAGACTCAAAAAGTCAAAATTCCAATTAAGGATAAGAGAGCAAAATGAGTGTCAACATCCCAAAGAAACTTTTTTGGATGTCTTTCTTTATAAGCATTTTTTCAGATATGTTAAAATTTTTAACTAAATTTATGAAGACAATTAACATTGACGAAATATATAAAATCCTCCTTTGAGCTCCAAAATGGACCACCAAAAGCACTACTCCATACTAAGTAAAAACCAACTTGCAGTGGACAAGCTGGGGGCATGCATGTGGTGCACCGTGCACCAAAATGTAGTTTTGTCACCTAAAAGGAATGGATTCCAGTCCACTTTCCAAAAGATTGCAGCAATTCATTGAGAGAAAGTTTATAATTTATGAATCACAAGAAATTAACACAAGGAGATTGGAGAAAAAACAAGGACATCATAGGTGGCAAGATGGCTCGCAATATGAGAATATGAGTTAAATATTCACATGCCAATTGTTTATTATTGGTTAAAAACCCGAGAAAAAAACAAAGAGAAGAATATAAATCCTTGTAATCTGTTAGTAAATATGACAAGAAAAGGCAAAGGCACAATACACAGATGCATTATAGAACCAATAATGTAGAAAAAAGGTTGGGCCTCATGATACAGCAAGTTTTTACTAAATAAGTTCTGCCGATCAACAGTAGAAAAGCACATTTCCAATGTCTCATTTATCCAAGACATTTATGACAACTTTTAAGTACATAACAACAAAAGTTCCATTATATATTAGGCTACAAAGTATGGGCAACTAGCCAGTAGCTCTATATTATTATAAATGCACCCAATAAATTGCTAACTGCTAATAACCCCAAAATTCTTTTTGTCTTTCTTTTTCCAGCAAACTTGCTAACCCATAAGCAGTTCCAGCAATTTTCTGAAATGAAAGAACCAGATATAGTCTGCAACAGGTCAAGAGGCTCAACAGCTCTCACACATATATTTACATGTTTATCATGAATAAGTCCTAAAAGGGTTTTCAAATTCCAACTCTCTCTTTTCTACAGTAAAAGCCATTACATATACCATCTTCACTTTGTCAATCTTCTCAAATGAAATAATGGAAGTTCAAACCATGAAATACATGCATGTGAAAAGAAAAAGAAAATCCATACCTGTGCATACCTCTTCTTTGTTTGCTCTGCCTGCAATTTAAAATTTACTATCAGTTCAAAATTTCTTAAAGTAACAGCATTTTAGAAATTTAAAATTAATGAAAAGAGTGGAAGTAATAAATAAATTCTTAAAAAATACAAATCATATTGTTTGTCTATGAGGCTTAACACTCATAACTACCGACCATCAATACATAGCAAAACAAGAACTTCAAGCAAAGGAAAAGGCACCATATGCATTGTAAAAGGCTAGAAAACAGGGTGATCATAAAATATATATATATATAACAGAATTTCTTGCCTCCATGTACTATACCAAGAAACCCAACACACAAGAACAAATAGACACTCTTCTTCTAGACGCACTTCAAATCCAAAACTGACCTAATTAATTACCTGCAAAGAAGTAGACATCTGATGCTTGTTTTCCATCTTACAATAAGGGGAAAAATAACGGCCATAAGTGCACAAATCTCACAAAGCAAGGCACCATGGTTGTTGGTTAGGATGCCAGCAGGTGAAGAAATAAATTTCACCTCAAAATATATCAACTGTCAATCACACGAGACATGCAAGGCCAGAGTGGAAGATGTTGCATCTTAACAAATTTCAAATATTAATTTGAATTAATAAATTATTCTCACTACTTATCAAAAAAGCAAATTTCACATATTATTTAGAGGATAATTTCACCCTTAAACTAAGTTCTTGTTCTAAGAGGTTGCTTAATAATGCAATCTCTTCTTTTAGATTGGCAAGTAAAGAAGGCATTCTAGAGTAACTGTTACTTATCAAATAATATTTAAAAAAAAAACTAAAGCACAGAAAAAAGGGGAAAATGCAAGGTCTGATCTCATAAAACTATGTTCTTTCACTCGACAAGGTTTGCAGAGGCAGCCTAGTAAGGGAAGACAAAATTTAATTATACAGTGAGAAGTAGGACAAATCCAAGCTGGACTTCCAAACAAACCCCAAATCAGAATGATCCTTCAGATATCTAGAAAAATTTCCCTTCCTCCTTTTCTATAAAAATAGAACCCAATTTTATTAATGTGCTATTCCCATAGAGAGATAAATGAACTATGCCCCAAAAATCTAACGTCTGGACAGGCTAAAACACACTGATATATTTTACAACTAACCAAGACAACTTTATAGCCTTCATGAATAACGCATAACAACTGAAAAATTCATGCTGAGCTGAGATACCTGCTCTTTCACTAGCCGTGCGTTTTCCTCCTCCAGCTGTGTTACTAGAGATTCTAGCTCAACGGTGTAAGCCTAAAGATGGAGAAACAAAGTACATACTCATGATACTCGATAAAGAAAAGACTACAACAAAAGCTACACGCAGAACATCATTGAGAAAAAAAAATGTATCATGAATTAACCTGTTTCCGTTCCCTGGACCTAGCTGCAGACTCTCTGTTCTTAATCATCCTCCTTTGTCTCTGCTGAGCAACTTTATCAATCGGCTCTTCCACTATTCTTCTTTTCCCCCTTCCGACTCCTACTGCTGCTGCTGCTCCCTCCACTCCATTCCCAAACCCTACAATTGATCCTTCTATCTGCTGCGGGGGGAAACGATTAGCCAACAAAGGATCAACTGAATAAACCCCTTGTCCAGCCCCCGCCACCTGTGGAATCCTCACATCCTCCTCCCTAACAGCTCCCGCTTTCGCAAGAAAATCCTCCAAGGTCATCTGCTCAATTGCGGAGTCCTTGAAATACTGTCCCTCCTCAATAGCTCTAATTTTCCGATCACCACCACTGGCAGCGATCTCCTTCCACACTTCATCGACCGACTTGCTGCCGCCGACACTCTTCGACAGCGTGGAAGACATCCCGGCACCATTGGCTTGACCATCAGCGCAACTGCCGGGTCCGGCGGTCGGGATAATCTCGGCTGCCGGATTATCACCGTACATGTTCCTGAGAAGCTCGTCCATGTTCATAGACCCGCTAAAGTTCCTGCTCTGATCGTTCTGATTCTCCGAAACAGTTAGCGAATATATAGAGGATTGACGTGCGAGATCCGAATTCGCCGACCTCGAAGATGCCATCACCTTCGACGACGCCATAGCTACTGAATTTTAGGGTTTCTGAGATTTCTATCTAATCTAACTTCCCCGCTCAATTTAGAAAAACTGGCGACTCTCCATTAGTCCATCTCCATCTGTTAGCGCGTGAGTTTCGCTGACGGTTTGAATGAATATGCAAAAAGAAAGAGAGAGAGAGAGAGAGAGAGGGGGAAAACCAGAGTGGTTTGGAAGAAAGGTGGTCTCGGGGACGGCTTGGCAACGGGAGTTTATGTGGGACGTGTGTACTATAAAAAGACAAAAAGACGAGGGTAGCCGGTTGCCGCTTAAATGGGTTTTTTCTTTTCCTTTTATGGGTTGACCCGGTTATTGATTCTTGTCGGACTTTTTTGCTTCGACCTTGGCTTCCGTGTCACGACAATCCTCTTTTTCCACGTCGCTATAATTTTAGTGTAAAACGACAAATACCACCCTATACTTTTACAAATTATCATTGAGTCCTGAAAATATTTTGTAGCTGAACCTGTGCTGCAAGGCTGTCAAGACGTAAGCTCTTGCTCTTTTATTATTTCTTTAATGATTCATTGAATGGGGCATGGGCCCAAGCTAGCAGAAGCTGCAGAACTTCTATTCTAATTATGTTTGGTTTGTGAGAATAGGGCTTTAGAATGCCATTTCAATTCTAACCGTTTATTTTTTTGGGTAAAATACAAGTCTCCCATGAAGCTTTTGAAAATCATGAAAACTTCTCTTATAGTTTCATTTTAACAAATACCTCTCTGAATTTTTGAGAAATTCGACAAAAACCTCCCTTCCGTCACCTTCCTAGACAGAAGAGGGTTAGACTGATGCACCAGTTTTTTTTCAAATGTCCATTTTGCCCTTTTATAAATTATTTTACATACAAAACTACATAAATACCCTATTTTAACTTGACAAAAACCTCCTTTAACAGCCATCTTCTAACATTTTTGTTGAGTTAAAGCAAGGTTGTTTCAGTAATTTTATATGTAAATAATTTATAAAAGGGTAGAATGGGTATTTGAAAAAAAATGATGCATCAATCTAATGTTTTTTGCCTAGAAAAGTGACTGAAAGGAAGTTTTTGTTGAGTTTCTCAAAAATGTAGGGGAAGTATTTGTTAAAATGAAACTATAAGAGAAGATTTTATGATTGCTAGAAACTTCAAGGGAGGATTTTGCATTTTACCCTTTTTTGATATTGATTCCATGCATCATCAATAACCCCCTTTGCCCAAATCAGTGATAGCAAGAATCAGTTCGGCGTTAATGCTAGAGCGGATCAGCTAATATACCAACAAGTCACCCCTCGGTTGATCAACCAGCCATTTAATTGGGTGGAATGGGATTCCATTTCCATTATTGTTAAAATGGCATTCTCCAATTTGAGAGACTAACCATTTTGGCCTTCCCCTTGGAAATGAAAATCTCACTCTATTTGGATACAAAAAGAAAAAGACAAATGTCTTAAAATCCCCCAAACCTTATTTCTCTTTACCGAATGTCAATCCTTATTGGAAATTGTACATGTTTAGAAAATTTCACTCTAATTCCCATCTAAACCAAACGGGTGGGGAAAAACGAAATTCCAATTCCATTATTTAGACCTAGCCTACATAGCACTATGGTTGGAAGGTGCTATATTTGATCAACAATTTGGATATGCCATATCATCATTCAGTCTAGATTTCCTATAAAACCTCCATCTACTTAGCAGTGGATTCGAGCCGAGTCGAATAGTACGAGGTTCAAGTTTGGTTCGAGCCAAAACCTTGAGTTCGAGCTCGATTTTGAAAAAGAAAATATAAAAAAAATTATATAAAAATATTTTTTATTTGATATTTAAAAAATTAAGAATTATAATATTTTTATTATATGTATTAAATATTAAATATATATATATATATATATATATATATATATATATTTGAGTTGGCTCACGAGCCTCATGAGGCTCATTTAATAATTATATATATATATATATATATATATATATATATATATTTGAGTTGGCTCACGAGCCTCATGAGGCTCATTTAATAATTGAGCTAGTGAATTAGGCTCAAGTTCGGTTGAAACCGAGCCAAGCCGAGTTTTTCACAAATCGAATTCAAACAGCTCATGAAAAACTTGGCTCATTGCCACCCCTACCTCTATTGCCTTCTCTACTAACCCAATAAATTAATTCCAACAGTTCCTCAGCATGTGACAAAAGCCCCACCTGCTATAGTAATTTACCAATTTGAGACTACTAAACCAACAATATCGCCCCACATCGGCCATGCATGTGAGGTGAGAGATTGGAATGGCCATGGGGCATATACAATTTATGGCTGTTGTGGGGTATTACTATTGATTAAACAGTCGCTAATCCAACCGTCAAGTGAAGCTCATACAAACACTAACTAATGGTGACTCAGTTGGTAGGTTATCTGACTCATTGGAGTAGAGACCTAGGAAGTAGGAGAGAGAGAGAGAGAGGGAGAGGGAGACCCTACTAGACCCGATGGATGAATCCTTGAAGATTTAACTTGAAAAAACAAACAATACTTATTGGAGATATTTTAATCTTTTAAGGATATTCCTATACTTTGTCAGGCGTATTCCTATAAATTCATAAACATAATTGCACATGTATAGGATATTCCTATACTTTAAAAATGTTTTAAATATTTTTTCGTTCAAAACAAAAAATAAATGTGATAATATAGGCTCCTTTTTAAATATGATGAAGAAATAATATTTATCTAACATGAATCCCTCTCTTTCTATAACTCATTTAGCACAAAGCTTCTTATTTCTGATCATCAAATTCTAAAAAACAAAAAATCAGAAAAAATGAAGAATCATTGTTGTGTTGCAAAAAATCAAACAATTAGAAGTTTTATAAAAATAGAGGATAGCAAAAGGGTACATGTGGGGTCATTTAGGCCCCAAACCAATTTGCGGCATGTTGGACTCCTTGTTCATCCAGCCTTAAATAGGGGGCGCAAATAAATAGGATTTTGATCCAATTTGAATTCAAATCCAATCTGTTTAGGTTAGATTTGATATCAGGTAAAACTTAACAAGTTGAATTCAAATAAAATAAAATTAAGATTCATATATTAATCAGAGTGAATTAAACTTGATCCCAATTCAGTCCACTATGATTTACTGATTTAGTCTGTAAATAGGGAAGGACTTGTACAAATGCAGTTTCTAGGTAGTTTTATTTATTTATTAGTTACATACATAGGGACTTAGGGGAGTGGTATAGAATAGGGTCTATGTGAGGTCCACTAGCCTTACCACCTACTGATCTTCATAACTACTAGGTCATCAACACCTGTTCTAACTAGTTTGATTGCTAAAACACTAAAGTTGCTTTGTTAATCTACATCTATACTACTATTAAAAGTGTGAATGAGAATGTAGAACTTTTGTTTGACTAAATACCCCAAATTTTAAATTTAATTCCTCTTGTCAGGACAAAAATGTAATTTGAATAATTACTTTTCTCCTCGTTAAAATCTCTTTCATTAATTCTTACATTTAAGGTATTAACTCCCATTACCATTTATTGAATCATATTCTTGACTAGAATACCCCTATTTTTTATTTTGATTACTCTTTAATTGTGAGGACACAAAATGTAATTTGAACCACTATATTTTTCTCATTAAATCTTATATATATTCAAGGTATTAACTCACATTCTTTCCTTAAATTGTATATTAATTAACCACATCAATCAAAGAAAGATAAGTGTGACAAAGAATAATTGTTTTTATTGGTGAGAGAAATAAAATAGAAATTTACAACCAACCCAAAAGTGGAGTTGTTTTTCTATTTGGTGGCGAATTAACAATTTAACCCTTTGGGTTGTATGTATCAACTCTTAATGTCATAATTAAACAATAATAAAAATTAAAAAAAAGATGAAAACACTCAAAAGTATAAAAATACAAAAAAATAGAAAACATTTAGGCACATCTCTAATATTATATATTGGTCATCTTAATCAAAATAAATATAAGAAATAATAATATTGGTAGCTAGATTCTAAAACTCTGCCACTTTTTTTTTAATTGGAAGCTTCAGATTGGGTCAAGAAAGCTTGATAAATGCAAAACAAATATAAAAATTACATAAACACTTACCCGTCTGGGGAGGTCACTTGAATTGTTAAGTTACCAATTAATGGTGGCTTAGTTGATAGTTTTTCAGGATCTTTGTAGTGGAGATTTGGGACCAACTACCATTGCTACTAGGGTTTGGGGTTATGGGTATTGGGGATGGAAGTAGCCCCATGGCAAATTCGTCTCTAATCCAAACCTATAGTGTTCATTTTATGGGGCATTTTTAAAACAAGCATCAATTTGGATGCCCAACTAAGTATAGAGGCCAATGTAAATGTTAAATATTTTTAAAATATTATTAATATTTTAAAAGTTGAAACTTGAAAATATTCAATTTCTTTTCTCTTAAGTAAATATTTTTTCCTTAATTGAAAAAAAATTCAAGACTTCGGGTCCTTGATAAGGAACCCATCTCCATTGGGGATGGAGGTTCATTTTTCTCCCCAATGGAGATTGGGGACAAGGAGGGGAGTGTGGTCCATGCCCTATTTCCATTCCTAAATTCCACCATGCTAAGATATTAAATTAATAAAAAATTAGATATAATTAATAGTAAAAAATCAATAATACCAACAAATGAAGTTAGTAACAATAAAATACAACTAAGATAAGTTATGAAAATTAAAGTAAGTATATATGTGTAATATTTCAATAGAAGTTTTAAATTAGCCATTTAATTTGAAACTATTATTTGTATAGTGCACATATATTTAAAATAAATGAAGGTGAATAAAATCTACTAAAAATTAGTATCAAAACAAATTTAATAGAAATTAATAAAAATAACATTCATTTAAATTCACTTTAGAATTATAAAATTAATAACAATTTATCTAACCATGGTGAAAATTAATAGACAAGTTAATACAAATTAACACAAGTATAGCTAACAATAAATTATTGCTAATTACTAAATAAAATAATTGTGTATTTATTTTACTTTATTAATGATAAAATGTTATAATATTTTTGTAAGTATTACTTAAATATAAGTAAATATATAAAGTCAGTTTTAGTCATAATTAAATTAATCTAAGCCCGAGTTTGAGCTTTAAGACTACAAGTTGGGCTTTGCTTAATCCTCAACCCAACCCAATCCACCAAAGTTGCACACCT